ACAGCACTGTAGCTGCCCATTTGCTTGTCCTCTCCCAAGAGGCTGCAGGCCCCATGGCATAGGAGTGTATCTTGTTCACTGTTCTTTTCTGACCTATCACCTATCACAGTGACTTGAATATACTAAGTCACTCAATAGATATTTCTTGAAGAAATCAACTATTAATAAAATATAGGATAAAAATTGGAGGCAGGAGAGGCTTCGTTTTTCTCTGAAAAATTGCTTGCAAACAGGAACAGGATTTTCTCTAGGCACAGCATAGTAGGCCCTGAAGACCTGCTGCTGCTGGATGGCCAGGCCTGGCATGTGGGCTGAGCCATCGCTTCCCCACCTGCAGTAGGCCCTCAGTCACCTGGTCACTGCAGGCTGGTCTTGTTGCTACTTGGTGAAGTCAGGTGATTAAGAGTTCTGGGATCTCATCTGAGCTCTGTTGAGGAATTGCTGCTACCTATTCTATTTTTAAATTCGAAAACTAATATGATCCTACAATCTAATTCTTTCATATAATTACTGAAACCAAATCAAAGCTCCAAGGAGATTATTTACTGCAAAGCAATGACGCTCCAGGGTGCCTTCAGGCAAACTCCAACACAGCAATCTATTCACCCTACAGTATTTGGGGAACAGTAGGCTCTCTCCTTCCCCCTTTTAAAAGCAAATGAACAATTTCACTGTCCATCAATCCCATAACAGAGGCCAGCAAAACATAAGTAGCTACTTGCAGCACATTCCCTTAAAAGGTTCTACACAGATGTTGATTTTCCTGAAAAAACAAACCAAACAAATCTCAGCCTGGACATTGACTGGCTGTTTGACTTGGCAGGTCTTCACTCTCTGCTCACAAGAAAGGACTGATTCCTACCGGTTCCACATTTCTTCTTTCTCTGTAAGTTTGGCTGTAATTTAGTGAGTCCTAATGATTAAAAACAATTCTATTATTTTCAAGAATTGCTGCCTTAGTCTCAGGAGGCCAGTTCTTCTATGAAGATCTAAGCTTGTGAATTTATATTCATGGCTAGACTATTATGAACCTGTTGGACAGGTGATTAATATACCAGACACAAGATTCCAGAGCAGGTATGTATATGTGAATAAATATAATGATAATGCTAATAGTAGTTAACATTTATTGAGTGCTTATAGTGTGCCTGACTTTGAGTTAAGGTCTTTATCACAATATTTCATTTAATTTTGTAACAACCCTATGGGATAAATGTCATTATCATCCCCATTTTTCAGTTGGTGAATTTGAGGCGTTTAGAGATTAAGTCACCCAAGGTCCCGGAGAGAGTAAAATGATGGAGGTAGAATTTGAAAACCTAACAGTTTGACACTAGTGCTCAACCTCTTTTATAAAATTCCACATCAGTGTTTATTGGTTTCATATTTAAATACTGGAAAGGACTTATAGTTACCACTTCTTAGAAGTTCAGGTGAACAGGGTTGGAAGAGGAGGAGATGGGAACACTTAACTAAAATGAGGTTGAAAGGTAACCTCTGAATTTCAGCTGATGTGTTTTTCCCTGTTTCAATTACCAGGAATAATCAGGAGAGGGTTGTAAAATGCGTTTTAAAGTGCTCCTATGTGAAAATCACCTGGAGAAACTGTTTCATCAGCAAAAGGAACAAGATGCTGATGCTTCAAGTGAAGGACTGAAGTTCAGATTTTAGAGCCCCAGCTGCACTCTCACCATTTCTCATCCCCTCTCATCCCCTCTTTCTTTTGGGGCCACATGTCATGTGGGCTGTCTGAGTAAGGGTTATGTCACCCACAACAGAGGACTGCACAGTCTGATACAGTTAGACCACTCCTGCCTTATTCGAATAGAATGTTTTCTTTTCTTCTTTTTCTTTTTTTTTTTTTTTTTACTTTATTTTCTTTGATACAGCATCAATTTTAAATCTTACATTTTGGCTATGGGCAACCTGGAAACAGCTGCGCAGACAAGGCAGGGAAGAGGAGCGTCCCTGCAGGTACACGCTTTGTTTCATGGCTGAATTGCTACCAAAGCAGTCCTGGACACAGCGCCCTCAAATTATTTTTCTCTGAAACTGATTTTTCCAGTTAGTTCTGTACGTTAGTTACAGAGTCCTATATTATTTTCCCCATAGGGCTTTCCTGCTCATGATTCCTAAACAAGCTGATAAAAACTCCATTTTCTCCACAGGAGGAGTTAAGTTGTTGAGGCTTTTTCTTACCGTAATTACTTCCTGAAATATGCAGTGGCCAATTTTTCCTGAATATTTTTACATTAAATTGGGCACCCAAAACTTGGCCCTAGGTATTTTCAGGTGGTAAAGCAGACTCCTGGCTCGAAAGAGCTGATTGGTTTCTATCACTTGCTTTCTGTATTGGCTTCTTATTGATTCGATTTAAGAAAATCTCTCTCGCATTTAAAAATGTAGAACTCCATGTGAAAACCGGGATTTCTTATGTCCTGGAGAATATAGCAACATTTACTAAAAGAAATCACTATTTCACTCCTCAACTAAGAACTTCAGGAATTGGGGCAGGTAAGGAGAATGGTCTTAGCAATGTCAGTTTGATGAGAAATGAATTAATTCGATTATTTTCGTGGTGTGGATCAATAGTAGTCGGCCTCCACAGAGGCCCCTGGCCTGAAGGCAGCTGGATAATCAATAGGCTCACACAGAGGCGGCTCTCCTCTCCAGCAGCCTCTCTCATCTTTTCTGGGCGGGCTCTTCACGCCTGTGTAATTCTAATTTATGTCAACTAGAAATCAAAGAAATTCCAAGAGGCTTTGGTCATAGGACATTAGGGTGGACCTTTCACAATCTATTTATGTCTGTTCCTTAAGTAATGTGGCCCCCACAGCCCTCCAGGCACCTCTACTGGCCAAGGAGGAAAAAAAACCTCCCAGCAGAAGGGTAGCCATCTGCTCCGGGCCATGGCAGAGGCGTGGGGTTAGGTAAACCGAGGCACACTTTCTCCTTTCCATCTATAACTATGCAGGGACATAAGAACCAAGCATTTTAAGCAAAACGCTTTGCCAAGAGTGGCTCCCTCAATAACGCTCTTTAATGATACCCCAGACGCTGGCATTTTCAAATCAAATGAACAGTGTATAAAATTAGTTCTGCATGAAGTTAAAAAAAAATAGAAAGTGAAAGGGAGCTTTTAAAAGCTCCAGCATTTCTCCATCCAACTGCTTTTCACAAGGGTTTGGCATTTGAGAATTGCTACGTTTATGATGTTATTCACTGCTCATAATTCAGGCCTGCGTCTCCAAACTTCTGTATTAACACACACTGCAGAGGTTTCCACCACGATACTTTACCACCGAGGCCTCGCAAACTAGCCAGGCTGCCTCTGGTGAGGGCTGTTTTTTTCTGCCAGTGCCAGGCCATGGTGCCTCCTCCCTTCTCATCAACCTTGTCACCCCAAACATTTTTCATTAACCTTGAACACTGCATTTCCATTTGTCCTACAGCTTTCTCATGATTTTTTTTTTTGGTCCTTTATAGTTTTGTTCTCCATCCAAACTGCCTTATAAGAAATGAAGAAAATATAATACAATTACAAGAAACAGATCTATAGAGAATCTAGAATTCACTGAAGTCACAAAAACCATTTCTATGACCAAAGCTTCTGTTTATGATTGCGGAAAACAGAGTGAACATACTGCTCTTATTAGAGAGTTCCGTTGATTACACAAGTATTTTTAACTAAATCACCAAATAAATGTGAGTTAAGTTGATAGGTGATTTCGGGTCAACTCTAATTCCCAAGGTCAAGTAAGCCTTTGAACAGTCTTTAAGAATATAAGCTCACCCCAATTCATCAAAGCCGTCTCACACAGCGTTTTCTTCTCTTGGTTCTTACAATGCACTAAAGTTTAGGAGATTAAGTGGCGTCAGCTTCAAAACCCTCTAACATGCTTATCCATCCAGCAATCAGAAAAGCTACTCAAACGGGGGCTTCTTAATGCACTTCCTGACTTTACAACTGCATGGGGAATGCTGCATTGTTGAATGACGGGAGGACTCCTCCCCAGGAATCACCAATGTTGCAGCCAAACATATTTACTGCAGTTTCGCTTAGCCCTTGTTTGACAATCCAAGTACATGTTGCTTTCATCTGCAATGAATATGTTTAACTTTTCTCATTTGTTCTCTGCTAACCTCCCAAGAGAGATGGGGGGTGGGGGTCGTGGGGCGAAACACTGTTTTCCTACAACAAATACAATGCATTTTGTTATTCTTGCAATTCCTCAAAAGCTGAAATGACGAAAAAAGCATCAGTTTGGTAAAGTATTAAATATAAGTGGCCCTCAATAAACTGACTGTGAAAGAACATGCAACTAGAATGTTCTTTCTCAGAACCACAGGATAACAGAATACCAGTGCAAGGGTACACAGACTTCACAAACCACATCTCTCTCCAGTGCAGGGATCCCACTGATGCCATTCCTGACCGAGGAATTTACTGAGTAGATGTTGAGGTTCCCTGCCTCCTCCATTGGCGCCACTGGTGTGCAGAAACACAGAGGAGAACTCTAATGGGTTTTACTAGTGGTTAGCAGATTTGGTTAAGGTAGGGAGAAAAGTGACAGGGCCAAATTAATTTTGTTCTTTAATGCTTTGCTGGCACAGATGATCATAGACTGCCAAGAGATGGTGTATCTTCTTCTCCATTCCCTAATCATAGTTTTTCTGTTTCCTGTTTCTATTCTTATTTTTCACCTTTATTTGTCTTGTTACTTTCTGTTTCCCTAAGTACTTGAACAGTCTTATCTTCAACTCACCCTTTTCTCCCACTGCAAATCTTTCTGCATCCCTATGCTGGAGTAGATGGTTAATAAATTCATTCCAAATACTGAGTGTCCTACGAAGGCATTAGTTTTCCATTGCAGAGGTGTGTAGAAAGTATAATTACTGACATCTTTATATAAAAAATAATCTTAATTTTAAATTTAGTTGAGGAAAAAGCACAAAGGCAAAGCATTCTCTAATTTGAGTTTTTTTTTTTTTTTCCTTTCTAATTTTCTTTCAAAATTGAATAGCAGGCAATACAATTTTTTTTTTCTCATTGGGAAATTCCACGATCACAGCACGGGTTAATATAATGATATTGATGATAAGAATAATCAGTAACAGATCATTTTATATATAATAGACATTATTCTAAGTGCTTTACATATGTTAACTCATTTACATGCTCATAATTCTACAAGATAGGTACTAGTATCCTCATTTTGCAAATGAGGAAACAAGCACTGAGAGGTTAGTAACTGCCCATGGTGACACAACTAGTAAGTGCAAAACCCAGATCTGAACCTGAACTCTGGCTCCGCAGACTATACCCTTGCTACTAATTTCTTTTCTTTGCTACTCAAATCTTCCTTTGAATCTTGATGGTAACTTAAAATCTGGAGATGGATGGCATCATACAAAATCCGAAAACTGAATAGCTACTTTACATTTCCATCCAACTAAACCAACAAGCAGGCTTTTCTGTGCAAGCCTTTACTTGTGCTTTGTGTGTGGTTTGGAACTGTCTTCCATCCTCACAGAGCCTCTCGTATTTGGCTCTGAGCTGCTTTAAGTCTGAGGAAGCCAGACAGCAAGGCTGGGTCCAGCATCTCCCTGGGCTGTGCTGCAGCAGGCTCTGACCAGACGGCATCGTGCTGGAGCCAATGGGTTCTCAGAGTGGCTCTCTGGTTAGAGAAAGGATTCAGAGGCAGCCCAGGGAAAGGGCTAAAACCCTTAGGGATACAGCTAATCTGTACAATGTCTCTATTTAATTTTGGACTAATTTGCATTTGGGTAGAAAATAACCCATTTCTTAACTAAAAATCAGCAAAATGCTGGTCAGCAAATATGTCGGGAATAATATTCTCCTGTAGTAACTGTAACATACAACTTCTACAGTGTATCTCTGAAGATGGAGCCGATCTTAACCATCTAAAGATTACAGATTAGAAATACGGCAATTTCTGAGAATCGTTGTGGACACATATGCATGAATGCTTACATTTTGGTAGCTTTAGTTAGACAGCATTCACGTGGCAGCTTCTGCTGGAAGCTGAGGAGTTCTGCTGTCACTGATTCCTGTTTCTAGAGCACTCTGCCTATGGTGGACCCTTTAACTTGTCTTAAAAGAAGTCATTTTAAAGTGGCAGGGTTAGCAGCAGCATTAGGTTGGTTAGTAGAAAGATTTGTGGGAGACTTGCAAGTCCTGGGTCTCAGTGCTGTTGCTTAGTTACAAAGTAAGTAGCTTCCGGGCTGGGCTGAGAATATATAACAACATTTCTCTAAACATAACTAACTGGCAAAGGTCTAGTATAAGCTGGGATTCTAAAGTGTTTGGAGAAAAGAATTAGTCAATTAACAAAAAATGACAAAGGACACAAGGGCTTTGGGCCATACTTCATTTGCCCCCAGATTTGCTACATTTAGAAAATGCATGCCCTTTGAATGGCAAGTCTATTTAGTTTCACATTATTTTGCTAGATTTGTTCCTAATCACTATTTACAAAAGTAGCACACATGTGTAAATTAGTACAAGATGGCGGCACTTTCTGAGCAAGTGTCTGAACTGGACCTTTTCTAAGGAAGCAGTCCCCGTGGCCAGAGAACGCCCCCTGGGTTGTGCCAGTAGCACTGGATACAGACTCCAAAGACCCGGCGTGAAGTCTTGCCAGAGTATCCCTGGGCCACTGACTGGTCTTTCTGAGCCTCCATTTTCTCCACTTCACAATGCAAATAACTATTTCTTAGACTTGTTATAGGAAAAACATGGAATAAATAAAGAAGAAAACATCTGTGGAGTGCCTGGTGTCTAGCATAGGTTTTTTTTTGTTTTTTTGTTTGTTTGTTTGGGACACGGTCTTGCTCTGTCACCCAGGCTGGGGTGGTGTGGCGCAATCACGGCTCACTGCAACCTCGGCCTCTTGAGCTCAGAGATCCTCCCACCTTAGCTTCCCTAGTAGCTGGTACTACAGGTGTGTGGCATGATGCCTGGCTAATTTTTTTTTTTTTGGTAGAGACAGAGTGTTTTGCCTTGTTGCCCAGGCTGGTCTCAAACTCCCGTGCTCAAGTGATCCTTCTGCCTTGGCCTCCCAATATGCTAGGATTACAGGTGTCAGTATAGATTTTTATTATCTGTTTTCTCAGTCTTCAAAGGGTCCCACATTAAATGCTGCACCATTTCCTAAACTCATGCTCACATCGCTGGTCAGCTCCACAGGCCTTCCGCCAGGACCTCTGGAATCACTTCTTATCACGTGCTAGGAGTGGCATCTGATGTATGGGGAGATGCAAATTCCCACATACCCCCTCACTGGCCCTTTCTTGTTCCCGAGTGGCCAGAATACATAGATGTTCAGTACCAAAATTACACACTTGTGAAAAACCAATTTGGCACTGTTCTTTCCACCTTTACTGTTGCTGGAAACTTGAAACACAGAATATAATTTTACGGTTAGACCCTGAAAATTGCAGTTTGTCATGTAACCTTTTACATTTTGGTCCATGGACTTATAAATAGGATGCCAAACTCTAAGTTGACTATATATATATGATTACTTTTTCTTTCTGCTTAAGCACAGAATTATTAAGTGGGGAAATGCAAAGATAATCCCAGATTAGTTTACAAAAGCAGGCAAACAATGCATAGCTATAATTATATATATATATATAAAATGTATATATAATATAGAATATATGGGGGTGGGGATAGAGAAGGAGAGGATATGACATCAAGCTATTAACTATACTGATATGTAGAAAGCAAACAACTTGATAGTCAACTCTTACTTTATCACATCTCATCAGCCCCAAATATCTCAGAGACTTGCTGCTCTGTGCAATCAGGGTGGCTCCTTGGTCTGTAATTTCCTTACACCATCCAACATCCACAGTCTCTATTGTCATGCTGTACCGCCCAATGGCTATCAGTGCTGCAAGAAGGGACAGAGAGAAAGCATTAACGTCAGCAGTGTAAGGGAGCTCTATCTTATTATGACTATTCATCTCATTTCCTCACTAAATTTGTTCCTGAAATTTTGTGTGTAAATGAATGTTTTATAAACTAAATTAAATTTGAAATGCTTTAGGAAAGCTTCCCTATGACAAACCCTTTTGCAAAGTGAATAATCATTCCATAATTTCCCTTTCATTGGACACAACCTTTTATCAGCTTTATTCATTACAAGGTTACCTGTGCTTTCAAACATGCAGCTCTGCAGAAGGAATACATTAAAATGAATTCCAGATACAACGTTTAAGAAAACCCAAGGAATAATTTTACCCAAGATAACTTTAATTTTTTTTTCCAAGAAAAACCCATGTAAACACTGTTTTGAGGAGTGTTATACTGCATGTGAATGTCTTTACCAATTGGCATAATTTTTTCCATCTGCTCATGACCTATAAAACGTAAAAGTATAAAATATTTTTCACATTAGTGCTTCTTGGGACTGTTAGGAATTAAGAGTACATCATACGTACAGCTGATTTTAACTGGTGCCATGCTAGAGTTCAGTAAAGGGAATGCATTTGTTATGGTGAATTTCCTCATCCTATCAGAAGTCTTCCTTCTATTAACATATAAAATGAAGCCTGTCATCTGTAAACCATGAGAGTATCTCTAGTCTTCTCAGCTGTTTAGCATTGTACCACCACTAAAGTGCAGACTCTTATCCCACAATCTATGACGTGCACTACTAATCACTGCAAAGCCCCACAGCCCATTACCCCATCAGAGTGACCAGTTGGTGAATGTGGCTCTTTTCTACCGACTTTGATAGATGTGCCCACCTCTATATTTATGGAGCAGAAAAACAAATTTCAATACTCCAGCACCAGTTTATGGTGCATTGGTTTGTGAATGAAAACCCTGAAAACAGTGCCACAAATATCAAAAAGAAAAGAGAAATGGTTTTCTGATAATTTCCTCCTTCTGAGATAGCATAAGTTGATTTCTGTGACAATAAAGGTGAATGATAGTTCCCAAAATGTGTTGACTAGATGGATAGAGTTAAGTACTCATGTTAACAAATGTTTACTCCTACAGCTCACAGAAGAGAATATTTGGAAAAGTCTTTCTTTGCTAATTACCTCAGTATTTTTTTTTTTTTTACTAGAAAACTCATGTCTGTACATTCCAGTAGGAAAGCACTCTCAAGGAGCCAGATATTTAATGTTTATACAAACAGCAATCATGATCCCAGTATTTTCCAGTGAAAATACAATAGAGAGAATTTTTTTTTAAAGTTCTTTATGTACCAGTTTGTTGATGTTTTCATCTTTGTGCATGCTGTTTTGATATTTAAAGTTTTCCAAGGGATTTGGGGATTTGCCAACTACTAAAAGTTTGCAGAAACGGTCTGAATACTATTTTTGTGTAGAAAGAGCAACATCCCAGGTTAATTTTGGTGTCTCTGACCTAAGAAAATTGTTCTCTCTGGTACCATCAGGATATGCTTATGATATCCTGAAGATCTGCTAAGAAAAATGAAGTAGGGGATACATAAAATAAATCCCTTTTAATACAAAGTGCTCAAACTATAATTTCCGAAGATGACAAAGCACCACTTGCAGGATGGCCTGAGGTTGGTAGATTTTGTGGAGTTGTTTCATTGAGGTCTGAGGCTAGAACACGAAAGCCCTGTACTATCCAGAAAAGCCCTGACTATCACAGCCTGCTTTATAAGCAGATAAAGCGTCAATAGCTATTGATTCTGGGTGGTAAAATTACTGATGTTTGGAGGCTTTTCTTCTGACTTAGCACTATTTACTGAAGTTAGAATGAAACTTTATTATTTCCTTTTTTTTTATGAGACGGAGTCTCGCTCTGTTGCCCAGGCTGGAGTGCAGTGGCCGGATCTCCGCTCACTGCAAGCTCCGCCTCCCAGGTTCACGCCATTCTCCTGCCTCAGCCTCGCGAGTAGCTGGGATTACAGGCGCCCGCCACCGCGCCCGGCTAGTTTTTTGTATTTTTTTAGTAGAGACGGGGTTTCACTGTGTTAGCCAGGATGAGAAACTTTATTATTTCTTAACTCATTCATTTATTTAATAACCACCTCATGAGCTCTAGAGCATTTTTGCCAACATTTATTGACTACACTCCATGTGCCAGGCCCTTGGCTAAGAATTTCAGGTGCATTATCTAATTTATTACTAACTGCAACCCTGTTAAGTCTTACTGTTATTTCCACTTTAATAATCAGGAAACGGAGTCACAGAGAGATTGAATAACTTTCCTAGTGTCACAAGATAGTAAGTTGGGGAGTGGATTTTAAGTTGGGAGCCAGCTCCCAGCAGAACCATGGGGCAAGGCAACTGGAAGTTCTCACAGGCCATGCCACCAGTGGTGGAACTGCAGTGTGACATGCTGGGCCTATGCTGGTTACTAGGAATATAAGATTCATGGAGCTCAGAGGCCAGGTGAGTGGAGGTGGGGGGTGGGTGTGAGGTGGGGTAGAAATGAGGAACAGCCCAGTAAACAGTCACAATCCAAGGCTCACCCCCTCTCTCTTCCCTTTTCCAACTCCTTACCTTTCAGATCTCAGGTCAAAGGTCAACTTCTCAGACCTGATCACCCTAGCATTTTATTGCTATTGGGAATGTTATTATTTGTTTACTTCTTTGTGGCTCACTCCCTCAGTAGAATGACAGCTCCTATTCACTGCTGTGTGCCCAGCACCCAACACACACCTCATACAGAGGAGGTTCTTAAAAATATCCATTGAATACAGCAACGACTATAACAGAGGCATGCTAAGGGGGCATAACAGCCCCCTCATGCTTCAGGGAAATGGAGATATGTCAGAAGCCCTCACAGAACAGTTGAGTTAGGTCTTGAAGGATGAGTAAGGGTTTTCCAGATAAACAAAGGAACAAGGATAGGTATGTTGGGCAAAGGAAACAGCATGTGTGAAAGTAGAGAGATGAGAAAGGACAAGTGAGCTGCAGGTATTCTACGTGGCTGAAGTAAAAACAAGTACAAGAAAGTGGGAAGACTCATTTCAGAGAGATTTATTCAGTGATTAATGGGGGTGGTATAAGAGACACAGAGTAACAAAACCAAGCAGAGTCCTTAATGTCATGAAGTTTATAGTCTAGCAGAAGAGAGAGATGTGAAACAAATAAACATAAAAGTAAACATAACTCTAAATTGTGACAAGTGCGCTGAAGGAAATGGACTGACCACTGTAGGATAGAATAACATTTAGCTGGGGGCTTCAAGGAGGGTCTCTCTGATAAAGTTACTCTTAATTCTTCCAACAGCTCTGCAGAACGATAACCATTTCAGAGGTAAGAAAACAGAGGTTCAATAGCTCACCAAGGCCCAAAATCTAATAAAGTGGCAGAACTGGCATGCAAACTAAGGCTGTTTGGTCGTTTGGCCAGTGCTTATTCTGTTACAGCAGCAGCACCTAGGGTGCGAGTAGGGCCCCGCACATGGTCAGAATGGATCTGGCCTGAGGCAATCTTCTGATTCCAAAATATACAGCACGTAATTTGCCTCTCTCTGACTATATCATGTCCTTGGACAGTTTTTCATTGTTGTTTCACAGGTAGCTATAAAACCTGTAGTGTGGTCTAGTCTCAAGTTCGGTTCTAGCCCTACTACCTAGCAGATATTTGACATCGGGATCACATTTAACTTTTCTGAGTCTCAGCGTCCTTACCTGGACAATGGGGAGGTTGACTGTATGCCCTGTCTACTTCATGAGGTTGGTTTGTGGCTCAAGTGAGATAATAGATGTAAGGGACTTTGCACTACATAAATGTCGTAATTTATTTGATATTTCCCCAATCCATCCTACAGTTGAGTAGTTGCTATAAAATGAAAAGACTTGAAAGAATTTTGAAAAATAAAAAACTCTGGGCAAATGATAGCATTATATAAATACTTAGTCATTATGTCACTGCTAGAGTTCTTGAACTGCCTACTCTCTATCAGTGATCATAAAATTCTAGTCTGCACCTGGGATGATAGGGCTGTAAATGTAATGTATCATTACTACCTTCATTAGAGGCTGTTGACACATTACAATGGTATTTATTGAACCTTGAAAAGGGATAAATTATGCAAGACTAATTCCTAACTCCAATGCAATTTTAATATACTTTTTAATGTGCTAAGTGCAACTAATGAAGAAAGTTAAATTTTAAAAAAGGTACACAAATTAAAAGCTGTAGTTCAGTAACTTGTGTGTTGATGAAGGATATACATTAACCCCCTAATAGTCATCCCCACAGGCATACAAATGACAGACAGAGTGATTAAAAGACTTAAGCACACATGCACTTAATTTTGACCAAGAAATTCCATTTCTAGGATTCTACTCAGACAATATACCTCTAATAGTACAAAATTACCTCAATATATACAAGTTTATTTATTGGAGCACTGATTGTAATTGCAAAATAATGGTAACAGCCTAAATATCCGTAAATAGGAGAGTGGTCGAATAATTATGCTATATCCGCACAACTGAATAATACGATGCCACTCTAAAAATATGAATAAGGAAAATCCCTAGGAATTAATTTGGAATGATTTTCAAATCATTAAGTAAAACAAAAGCAGAGGCCAAAAGAGTGTATATGATGTGCTACCACCCTTCATAAAAAGCATAAGGGAACATAATAAAATACGTATTAATCTGCTCATCTGTGCACAAGTAACAGGAGAAGCATAAACCAGAAACCACAAAATACTGTGTGACTATAAAGGTTGGTAAAAAATAAAGAAGCAGGCATGAGATGTGGGGGTGGGGTTGTGAGGAAGAAGAGATAGAAGAGATACTTCCTGTAATAGCTCTTTTTATATAACTTCGACTCTCTGAACCATAGCAATGCTTTACACACTTCTCAAAGTAAAAAAAAAAAAAAATGTGTAAGAATCCAAAGAGGAACACAAACAGTAACAAATGAACTCAAATAAACA